AGAGTCTAAGAAAACTAGGCAGTTGTTTAGAAAGGAATAGCGCTAACAACCACTTCCTAAAATTATCCCAGACCAAAAAAAAAAAAAAAAAAGAGCTGTCCTATCAGCACCAATGATCTCCTCTGTAACTAACAAATTTCTCCCTTCCCGCATACTAGTATGCAACCCACTGTAATAATGCCTTAGGTTGACATTATTACAATGAGACCTAATTTTTCTGAGTCACAAACGGGTGGAGACAAAGCAGACTGTGAACAAACTGGGTGTATTCAATATATATATTTTTTTTTTTTTTAAAGAATAGAGCACTGACCTGGGAAGCAGTAGTCTTGATGTTTTTTTTTTTTTAAGTAAAGTCACGAGCCTGATATCCTGGTTACTTTGTAGTGATTACATGAGCACATCAGCTTTTAGCATGTAAGGAATGGCAATTTCCATTGGCAAGATACAGGCCATAAAAATAAACTCGAAACACACTCGGATCTCCACATCTGTTAAAAGCTTACCCATCTCCCAATGCCCAATTCCCTAATCACCCCCAAGCCAGAAATGACTCACACCTCAAAACTCCAATGGCATTTCATGAGCATAATACTCCAAGGGCACTTACCACACATAGTAACTTGTAAGTAGGTGAGTGTTTTTGCTCGACTAGAGTTATTATTTCTTGTTTCCCCAATAGGACCCAACAGGGCTTATCACAAAAAGGAGGAAGTCCATAAATGCCGTGATCTACCACAAAGACTTTAGAAAGGATTCCACTGACTTGTCACTCAAGTTGAGAATGCAGCTAATGACATACAAAAATAGGATGCTTATGGATTTGGTGCTGTGGTGATTTATTTTTTTGTTGGTGATAAAAGGGGTGAAGAGCCACCATCTGGGGTTTTATCTTCCCCTTGTTTTATTCCTCCTTGTTCCTTTAGGCAAAATGAGGAAATATGGCTTAAACTGGGCCACAAAAACTGTTTGTTTAGCAGTACCTTAAGAAAATATCTTTAAATGTACCTTTAATTTTATGTTTCTGTAGAAACACTCCAAAAGGTTCACAAAAAAGGACTCTAAACGTATTTAAATGACCTACTTCAAAGGAAAAATGGTTCTAAAAAGCAGTATTTCTAAAAGGCAGCAGCTGTTGGACCCTACCTTGTGTTCCCTTCTAGCACATTCAGAGTGACTCTTCAGTAGTGTGTGAGGGGTATGCCCCTCCCTCTCTGCCCCTCACCCCCAGAGATGCTCTTCACAGACCAGAATTCCACTCTGCAGCAACCGATGGCTGGGCTCCAGCCTCTCAAGGGGGGAGACGAGGCACAGAAGCGCTGACAGGCCCTCACGAGCAGCAGTGATGCAGAGCGCCAGAATAAACTCTGAAGCTGCTTCTCACAGTTGAAAGGACGGGGCACAAGCTGTTTTCTCGCAACTCTGCTTCTTAAGGTTACAACAAACCAGCCTCTGATCCAATTAAAATCCCTATAGTTTAACGTTTTCTCAGAGGAGGACAAAGCAAAGATGACCTGGGCTTGCCAGGAACACAACGAGCCACGTATGGTCTTGGTTGATAAATGAAGAGTTAAAAAAGATGAAAAATTAAAGTCATGACTGCCATGAAATTGTTTATTCATGGTAAGGTGTTCAGGGCAGTTACAGCTGTACAACAGTAATTGTTAACAAGCGTCTCCTGAAGAAAAATCTCCATTATAGATCACAGATAAGACAGGAAGCAGAATGCATTGCTACTGGGAGATCAACGTCCCGAAATGGTAGAGGATGTGTCAGACGCCAAGTCAAGAGGGCCTACCCTTTCCTGAAACCACTTTCAAGAAAAACTGTACTTTGAGGACGATGACATTTACCCTAATTGCTGCAGCTAATTAAAATTAGGTAATTAAAAAAATTTCAAATGCACTTTAAATTTGATGTAGGGCATAATTAAAAATCAGATTTTAAAAAATATCATTAGGGCGGTAGGGTGAAGGTTGGCATACTAGAGGGGAAAAAAAAAAAAAACAAAAACACAGTTTAGCTCTCAGAAAACAGGAGGGAAATGGCAATCTGTCAAAGTTATTACAGGGGGACTTGTTTTTTTCCTTTTTAAAGACCAGAACTTAACAACTTGGAACATCTGTGCCCTTGCCTTTCCCAAGTATGCCGATGTCGAACAGCACTTCTTGTGTCATTCTTCTCCCCAGCAGGAACCAGGCTGGTGAATCAGCAAAATGTCAGGATCTTCGGAAAGCTGCTACTATTACTTTGAGTTAGCAGGAACAGAAAAAAGAATGAGAGCTGTGTTTCCAGAAACAACTTGGTGATTCCTGTGTGAATACACAAGGTAGCAGATGACACTGTGCAACCCTGTCAGGGATGTAATAAATCCTACAGGGGGAGGGCTCAAGATGCACTTGAAACAACACTGGACTGGAAACTGGGGGCGCCCAGAGGGCCAGCCTCAACTTCAACAGTTAGCTGTCCAACATCTGGACCTCTGATTTGTCACTAAATAAATAAGGCACTGGGCTAAGTCATCTCTCAGGTCTGTTTGGATCCTGAAAATCTACCATTCTGTAGGTAAATTAAAATGTAAAGTCATAACTAGAACTCCTTCTACCTTACTAACTCTGTGAGGACTAGTTAGTACCTTGAATAGGGCTGATCATATGGTAGACACCCAAATATATGTTTATTGACTGATGCTGCTTGAACATCCAGTCTAGTCCATGGTTCCTCGGGGTCTAGTACAGTGCCTGGTACATAATAAGCACTCCAAGCATGTCTACTGCATGAATTCATGAGACCCTATACTAAGCTGATCCAGAAACAAGCTAATCAACCAGGGTTCTCGTACAACCCAGAACCCAGAAGTAAACCCTGAGGAACACATTCAGCAACCTGGGGACTGACAGAGTGATTCTTAATACTATCTAACCTTACAAGTCTCAGAAATGGCTTAAGAGCACCGTTCAAGAAGCCTGCATTAAAATTATTCACTGATTTATTTCTATGAGAATTATCAAGCAGGAAAGAACCTAGTGAGACATGCTCTCAGGAGAGAGATTACCAGGAAGATGAAAATAACATGAAGCAGCAGCAGATTCCCCGTGAATATCACTCAGGCAGACTAACTAAATTTGTCTCCTACCTTCGGAAATCTGGATTCAAACAGAAAAACTACTGGAAGAGAATCTGCTTTAATGAACATATTCCCGACCAAGGGCACATCAAAAGCCGTTTGCAGAAAGCTGCTGCACATCTGAGAGCAAAGACAAAGTATAAAATGGTTTTGGAAGTCAGGTTCAGATTCAGGTAAAAGTAACATCCACTAAGTGCCTACTGTGTATCAGAAACTGCTTAGCCCTCACATGGTCTCCTTTAATCCTCCGTTAACAATGAAAGGCAAAAGTTATTAACTCCACTCCTGCAGAGGACAATACTAAGGGCTGGAGGGGCACCAAATTTCACACTAGAAATGAAGCTGGGAGCCAAAGCTAGATCATCTGTTTAGGTCTAATGCTCATTCAACAAATATTATGTGCTTCTGTGCACCAAGCCTTTTTTAAGGAATAGGGAACGTAGCACTGGACAAAATAAAATTAAAATCCCTGTCTTCCTGGACATTCCAGTGTGCTTTCTACCATGGTTCACTGCCTCCTCTTTTCTCAACTCCACTGGGCCGTCTGTTAGCAGAATGATGTCTAGATCAACAGATTCAAATCCTATCTGGCCTTGCCGCTATAATGGACCTGGAAAATCAAGATCCTGAGAAATTAATGCTATTAAGGTATGAACAGATAAATCACAATGAATTCCAGCACTAATAAGAGAAAATAGGACAATTAAGGATTGCCCAAGATTTAGTCATAGATAAAAACAGATTTTCAAATGAGTAAAGAGCAGCATGTGTTTCAAGACGGGAGATAATTAGAATGAAAATAGAACACCAGACGTGACAGCAGACATCAGCAGAGACAGACAGGAGACGAGAGTAAACAGTATTCCCTCACCCTGTCAGCCTTCCTACTGAGGACAGATCTGAAAGGATATCTGTATTATCATGTCCAAGTAACCCAAGGAGAGACTGCACAGCATTCAGCTCCACCAGGAGGTGGTACAGGTCTGGCATGGTGGCCACCACGTGCATCTCCTGAATGATGTCATTTAGGTCCAGCTCGGATTCCATAAACCTAGGAGGGGAAAACATGACAGCATCAGTGAAAGGAAAGGGGTACTTATCAGCACTGAGGAGCAAACAGCAACATAATCCAGACAGAGAAACAATCTGTCAAAGTGTCTGCAACAGACCAACCAGGAAGTACACTCATCCAAACATCATACTGTCACACAATTTCCTTGAGAAATCGATTCCCTCATTACAAAAATCAATCTTGGATTCAGATCTCATTACAGGGTTCCCCTTACTCTTGCAGTCACAAGTTGCCTTTTAGAGGCTCCTGAAACATTTTTAGCAGTAAATGACCTGCCCACCAGTCCTGTGGATTAGCTACCATTACCACTGTGTTGCCCTGACATAGTTATCCGACTAACCCAAAAAGGGTTTCTCTTACCTGCCACTTCAGATCAAGGGCCAATTATTCCCCTCACCCAAAGGACAATGCTGAGATTTTCCTGCCATCCAAAAATACCCTGCCTTCCTCCAAACCCTCTCCCTTCAGTAAGCTGATTAGGGGGCAGATTCCAAAGTAAAGCAGCAGGATCTCCAGGATCCTGTAATCACCACCACACCTTACAGAGCATGATACTCCACTCACATTTCCACACCCAAACCTTTCAACAAACCTATGCCCAGGCGCTAAGAACAAAACTGCTCTGCATTCACCTCTCCCAGCCCTCCCCCCGCTGTTTGACATATCAGAAATGCCCAGTAAGCCTTTGATGAACAAGACAGGAAGGTTTGCTCTGAGGAGGAAGTGAGCCAATCCATGTAAAGCAACTGAACAATATCTGACTGAGAGTAACTGAGGACAGATCTGAAAGGATATCTGTATCATCGTGTCCAAGTAACCCACGGAGAGACTGCACATGCTTGAACTCGAACTCATGACCCTGAGATCAAGACCTGGGCTGAGGGGCACCTGGGTGGCTCAGCCAATTGAGCATCCGACTCTTGGTTTTGGCTCAGGTCATGACCTCAGGGTTGTGAGATCAGGCCCCGTGTCAGGCTCTGCATTCAGTGTGGAGTTTCCCTGAGATTCTTTCCCTCTCCCTCACCCCGTCCCTCCCCCTGCTCACACGTGCACTCTCTCTCTCCCTCTCCCTCTCTCAAATAAATAAATAAATAAAATCTTAAAAAAAAAAAAAAGACCTGAGCTGAGACCAAGAGTCAGACACAACCGACTGAGCCACCCAGGCGCCCCAGCAGTGGTTTAACAGACTCTGGAGTCAGACTGCCTGGGTTTGAACCTGATTTAGTCACTTACTTCATTTCTCCATGCCTCAATTTCTCATCTGTAAATAAGATCATAAAGTTCCTATCTCACAGGTCTACTGTAAAGAGTAAATGAATAAATAAAGCACTTAAGAAAAATGCCTGGCCTATAAAAAGCACTACATGTTTGCTCTCATTTATTCTCCTGTCACTGCTGTTATTATTATGTCTATCTTCCCTTCTAGAATGTACACTTCTTAAAGACAGAAATTATATCTTTTGTCTCTATATATCCACAGATGCCTGCTTAATCAAATGGCCTCAATTTAATTTTATATCAGTGTGCTTTAATTTAAAAAAAGAAAAGGAACATAAGCAGGGACTCTTGAAGTTACATATGCCTCATTCAGATGCTGAGGGGCTGGGCAAAAACCACCTCTCCAAAAATCTGGATTCTGCAAGGAACAAAATCTGAAGACTATAGTTCTTTAAAAACATGCCTGTATTTCAGACAATATCCTTACCACTGTTTTTCCTCATTACTATTTTTAATCATAACATTTATATATATTTTTTCTAATTATAAAATACTACTTTCTATAGAAAACTGGGAAAAGACAAGCTTTCAAAAAATAAACAGAAATCATCCATCCATTATCTCAGTGACCAGAAATAACCACTGATAATATTCTGGTAGGTTTAAGTAGTTTTTCTCAACTCATAGCCTACCCCCCCCACCACCAAAAAAAGTAGCCTACATAGTATACAGTTCTATATTCAATTTTTGCCATTGTTGTTAACATAGGCTGAACAATTTCCCTTATCATTAAGCATTCTTCTACAACAGGAAAAGCCAGTATCGAACACTTGTCATTCCTTCTCCTTCCATGGCAAAATCCCTCATTGAACCCAGTGCCCTTCCCTGCTGAGCCCAGACATGGCTTCAGAATCCTTCTCAACACAGTGTTCCAAAAAGAAACCACCAATCAATCCAAGAGCGGGTGTAGGAGATTAAGCCTATCTGAAATGTCTATTCTAAATAATACATTTTAAAAAGCTACATCGTATTTCCTTACGTGGATCTATCATAATTTATTTTACCAATCCCCCTTTGTCATTTAGATGGTTTTTCAATCTTTTCCCTTACAACAAATGACACTACGATGTATGTATTCATAATTATTGTTAGGATAAATTCCCAGGAAGGTGCCCAGTCAGAAAGTATGCATAACTTAATAGATTTTGCTCTAGCCTGCCAGAAAGGTACCAGCAGTCTATGAAGTGCCTATTTCCCCCACAACCTCCTCAAAACCAGTATTATCTATTTAAAATCTCCTCCAATTTGAGATGAGAAATATAACTTATTTTTTATTTTGCACTTCTGATATTAAGTTAAAATTCTGTTAATGTTGTTTCTCCTTTGACCATTTTTATATCAGGGTGCTCATCTTATTTGCTGATTTATAAGCACTCTCTATATTAAGGAAATTAATCTCTGCCATATGTTACAAAAAAATAAACCAACGAAAAATATTTGCCCTTTAATTTGTACATTGTGCTTTTTAACATAAAAGTTTTTAAAAGCCTAAGTAGTTAAATCTTTGCCTTTATGAACTCTATCTTACATGCACCCTAAGTAAGGTTTTTCCTACACTAAGATCAAATATATTTTATGATATACTATCTCTATGTTTATATATATTTAAATGTTTAGGAGTAAGTAAATCTGAGATATATTTTAGCATATGATATGGGGCAAAGATCTAACTTTATTTTCTGCAAATGTTTGGCCAATTGCCCCAATACCATAACCTATCCTTTTTCCACAGATCTGAAGAAATACCACCTCTATCATATACTAAATTTTAATGCGTACTCTAATCTTTTTATGGGTTTTTCACTCCATTTCACAGATTTGTTTGCAAATTCCTGAGCCAGGACCACACTTCCACATTATCATGGCATATTTTACCTGTTACCACAAAACATTCTGTTGTTCTTCTTTTCCAATGCTTCCTTGTCTATTCTCACCTGCTTATTATTCTAATTTCAAAATTACTTTTCTCAAGATTCCAGTTTTTTTAAGGCTCCTTCACTATGCTTACAAATAGATTACCCTTTTAGATCACTAGGTGCCTTATCACCTAAAGCATGGAAGCCAAATCAGAATCATGACTTGGAAGGGCTGGCATAGAATTCAGATATTGGGGCAGTAGATCTGTATAATCTTTGAACCTAAAGGCTCAGCAAATCCCTAAGGCTTATTTGCCTTACATGAGTAGTACTAGAGAGTAACTTAACAAAAGACTTTTACAGTTCATTGGGAAGAACTGACAAGGGCACTAAATAGTACTAAGCAAAGTCACGTTGAGTACAAGGAAAAGGTGTGGGGACCTGGGTGGTATAATCAATGAATGAATGTGAGCCTGAAGAGAAGCCTCTGGTAGTATCCCACAGGGCTCCATCCTTAGGCCTGTTTTTTGTTTTTTAAAGATTTTATTTTTAAGTCATCTCTATACCCAATATGGGGCTCAAACTCACAACCCCGAGATCAAGAGTCTCATGCTCTTCTGACTGAGTCAGCCAGGTGCCCCTTAGGCCTGTTTTTGATGAACTTAAGTGAAGATATATAAACAGCAAACTTAACAAATGTCATATAACACAAAGCTTATAGAGACAGCGAACACAGCAGCTGACAAAATCATTTCAAAAAGTTCCTGACAAGCAATAATGATGGGCCAAATCTAACAGGAGGAAAATTACCTAGGATCCACTCCGAGCACTGCACTGACCCATAAAGTCAGGTACAAATGCATGGGTGAGAAAGATACGGTTTAGTAAGAGCACATGTGTAGAAAGGACTTGATGGTGTTAGTCAATTGTAACTGCAATACAAATCAGACCATGAGACAGTTCTGCCAGGACGGAAATTACTACTCCTTCATCTCTGGACACCCAGCACCAGGCACACTCCCTAGTCCACCAAAGAAATCTAGCAGATACCTGCCAAAGGAAGGAGCAGAGGAAAGCAGTTGCCACAAAAGCAGCTGTGGTCTTAGCCTGCTTAGAAGAAAATACAAGAGTTATCATGCAGATCAGATAACCCTTAAGGTATATGACATCTGTTACGGGAACCATACTTTATTTAGGAGGGCTATGGAAACTAATTTGGGGAAGCAACTGAGATTATAAGGAGTCTAGACATCCTCTCATAAAAGAATGTGTTGAAATTCTTTTTCATTCCAAGTTGAAATCTTATGAGTCAGAGCTGCCAAAGATGAAACAGGTTTCTTTGTAAAGTTAGATCCTTGTCACTGGGGGTAATTAATAAAGGGTGACATGAAAAAAAATCAAGAAGGAGAAGGGAGAATGGACTGCACCTTTCAGTCCCTTCCAACCTGGAAATTCTTCTTCCAACTATGCAGTTTTAACCCAATGTTTTTAAGTTTAGAAAGTCATAAAATTATCAAAACAAAACAAGCAAAAAGTCAACTGTGAGCAGGGAAACATCACAAAAATACCACTGGGGCCCAATGTTACATTAATAATGAGCTAGAGCAGGAAACCCCTGGACTTGGGAATGAGACTGACCTGGGTTACACGCCAGCCACAACATTTATAGGCTGTGTAACCAAGAGCAGTGTGTTAACAAGCATTCATGGGGCACACACTAAGTGCCAGTCACTGTGCTAGGTACTGAGGAAATAACAAATAACAAAACAATCCCAGCTGCTGTCCTCATGGAGCTTCTAGCAAGGCACAAATCTAAACAATCTATTCAATGCAATTAATTGTAAGGATGTCTAGTGTTGCCCAAGAAAACTGTTATTGGAACAAAGAACATAGGGCCCCAGTCTGGACAAGGGAGATGGAGAATATTAACTAACCTATCTCTAAACTTCAACTTCCTTAAGCTTCCTAGCTGAATTATAGTGAGGATTAAAAGAGATAATAAATATAATGTGCCTAATAACAGTTGGCACATAGCAGGTGCTCAATAAATCTAGGTACCCTCCAGTCTGCTCTGCTATAACAAAGAAAATTTTCTTCTCTTTTGGCTGACCAAGAATAAGCCTCCTCATTTAAAGCACACACTACAATATTTGTAAAGGACTGACTGTCTAGGGATTAGGCATACCTTTAACAACAGCTGATGCACAGCTGGAAGAAAGGATCAAGTTAGAGGTCAATGGGAAAGCAACAGAGCAACATATTAAAACAGTAACCCAGGCTGAGGCGGGGTCATCAATTCCATCTGGTATGACAGAGAATATTCTGCTCGTCTGCCCATGTACATTTGCTTCAGACCAGCATGATGTTCTCATTCAACCACAAGAGTGAATATTAGCAAATGATCAGTGAAGTCAAAAATACCAGAAAAGCAACAGAAACCAGTGAGTTCCCCTGCAATCATAAAACCAGCTATCAATACATAGGAAGCATGAGGTTTCTTCCACCCAAATGAATCAGCAATTCTCAAAGTGTGGTCCTAGGACCCCAGGGTGGGGTAGGAGCTGGCCGAGATCCTTCAGGTGTCTATATGATCAAAACTATTTTTATGGTAAATCCAAAACATTATTTGCCTTTCTCACTCTCATTCTCTCAGGACTGTATAGTGGAATTTTCCAGAGGGCTGCACAACACGTGGTGCTATCATTGCCCTGAGGGCTAATGAAATGTGTGCTTGTATATTCTAAAATTTCCTAAGATAAGCACTTTGGGGTACTCAATAATTTAAGAGTGCAAAGGGGTCCTGAGACTAAAAAGTTTGAGAACCAATAAACTAAGTAATTCCAGCCCTACAAAAATGAAGAGAAGGAGAGAAGGAGCACACTCTACTCTTGTGATGTTTGGGAGAATGATCACACAGTGCCAAGTAGACGCTGCATAAGAATTGTCAATTGAATCTGAAATGCAGCCAAATGAAGAGAGGCATTTTTGGGTATGCAATCAAAATGACAATTGCATATATGGGAAAATAAATTTGAACGTTTCTGATCTCAACCGGAAAGCTTCATTCAACTATGCTCTAGCAATTTTCATCTTAATTGCACCTCGCTGGTCTAGAGAATTATAAAAGACACTGCACCAGTAGGAATTCAAGAACTCAAGGTTAAAACACAATGCAGTTTCCTACCTGCTTTTAGATATGAAAAAAAATGTTCTTTATGCATAATTTCAATTTTTGAATGTTGTGACTTAAAAACTAAAATAGTGTATAAATTTGTCTGGATGGAAAACACTGTTGTTGTTTTTTTTAATGCAATAACATTTTCTTAAAACCACTTTATGAATTGTAACACTGGAGCATCTGTGGTACCTAAGAAGTAGAGGTGAATATAACCTGCAGAAACTCACTGCTCTACACCGACAGAAGTATACTTAGAAGTGGAGAAAGGTAATATTGGCATTCCAAAAAGTACTGTGGTTCTTAAATTTCTAATGTTATCAACCTATAGCATAGCTTTCTCATAATGTATCCTCAGGTTCCAAGCACTGGGAATGTAATATGGATGACCTCAACTATGTAAGATCTCTCCTGTTTACTGAGCACTTACAGTATGGCAGGAACTGTGCTAGGTACTACAAACAGAAACAAACAAGACACAGTCTACCTCCTGAAAGGCACAGAGTCTAATGCAGGAAAACCACTGAGGAAGGAAATAACAATAGAACAAATGACAAAGATCACATTCACCGTGGGCAAAAATTTAGGGAAAGAGACCAGCTGGTAGAATAAAAGGCCAGGGTATGGAATTTGGCAGGGGCTATCAGAGTTTAAAATACATCCCCTTCAATTGGAGAATTCAACACTTAGGTATCTATCCCACAGAAATAATGCACACTAAGACATTCACTGCAGCATTGTTCACAAAAGTCAATATTTAAAATAACCAAATATCCATCCAAAGAAAAATAGTAAATAAATTATGGTATCTCCACACCATGAAACACACCGCACCAGTCACAAAACAAAAGGTAAACACGCATGGAAAGATCTCCTGTTATGTAAGTAAAACCATCAAGGTTCAGAATATGTACAGTATGATTTAGGTAGGGGGAAAAAATTACATATGTAAATATATGTACAGAAAACAATCTAAAGGAATACTCACAGAGACTATCTCCGGGTAGCGGAACGGAAAGGGGGTCTGTGCAGTGAAGGAGAACTTTCATTTTTTATTTTACTTATGCACTGTTGGGTGTTTTTTATGACAGTCTGTTCATGTATTACTTGTATAATCAAACACACCCATGCATACACAGACACAATGCAGTATGACAAGTGCTACGATAAGGTAGAGGTCAGCACAAAACTGACAGGACTCTGGTGTTGGGAAGGCTGAGCTCTGATCAAAGAGGGTTGCGGCCTGGGTCCAGTTAACGAGGTTCTCCTCTCTCTATACCTCCTCATCTACAGCACAGAGAGGACGTACTCAATCACATCAGCCTCACTAGGTTGCCATGAGGACTCTATGCCCTCTGATACCTCTGTGCCTTTGTTCACGCTAATCACATTGCCTGGAAGGCCTTTCCATGTTCTCTTCTGCCTATTAAAATAAAAATCATTCTTCAAGGCCAAGCTCAAATACCACCTCTTCTGTGAAGCCCTCAATAGCCCCCAACTTGGTATTCATGGCTTCTTTCCCTATGCTCTAACAGCACTCTGCTTCTATCTCTTTAAAGTGTATTTCCTTCTACCCTGCATTTATAGTCAGTCTCCCTAGTAACCTATAAACTGGAGTACAAAGACTGTACTATTCAACTCTTAATTGCCTAGGGGCCTTGGGCCTATTAAGATTTATTAAAAGTGTATGTCCTGAGAGGCAGAAAGACAGGGAGGGAAGAGAGATTTAGAACATTAAAATCTGTATAAATATGCAATTCCTTTAGTTAGAATTCATTTTTTTCCCTACCTAAATCATACTGTACATATTCCACACCTTGATTTTTTTGGTCACATAACAGGTGATCTTTCCATGTTAGTACTTGTCAAGATGGACTGAAAGACACTAGATTCCTCATGACAGCACCTCACAGTACATGGAGGTGCTGGTGCAGTGACAATCACGTGAACTGTCATTCAGTGAGCACTTACTGTGTGCCAGGCACTGAGCTAAACACCTGCCATCATTCTCACTCAATCTTCACAACAACCCTGTGAAGGAGGTTTTATTTCTTTATACAGATGAGATACCTGAGGCTAAAAAAGGAGAAGTGACTTACTCAAGGTCATGTAGGAGTCACACCCATATCTGTCTAACCGCAAAGCCTTTGAAATTTTCTCACCAGTAAAGCTATCACTAATGACAGGCATGGTCAGTTTTCTTTGCGCCTTGAGAAGAACAATGCAGAAAAGAGTTAACATAGTAGACCTGATCTTTACAAGCATCTAGTCCTAGGGCTGGTATCTGGGAACTTGGCTTTTGAAAGGTTCCCTAAGTGATAAGGGTGTTTTACCCACCTGGAGCACTTAACTTCTGCTTTCCCTCTGGGAGTGTGGAATTTTGATAGTCATGCTGACAGAGAAGGCCTACATAACTTGTTTTCAATAAATATCTTGGACTCGTAAGTCTCACTCAAATGCGCTTCCCTGGACAGAAACACTACACACGTGCTGATGTATTTCACTGTTGGAGAAAGAACATGTCTGCGTGTAACCCCGGCAGAAAAAAGACAAGGAGCCTATACATGAATTTCTCCAGAGTCCAGCCTTATCTGTCTTTCCCTCTTGCTGATCCTGTTGTGTGCCCTTGAGTACCACTGACTCTGAGCCCTATGAGTCTTTCCAGTGATTTCCCAAACATGTGGGTTGTCCTGGGACTCCTGACACAAATCACAAAAACCAAAGCAGGCAAAACAAATGAAAAACAAAACAAAAACAACAAACATAACATGTAGGAGGAAAGAGGGTTTCAGCAAAACAGCCTTACTTCTCTGGATTGTCTGGAAACTTGATCCGCAACTCTTGGTTTTTGTATGATCTTTTTTCAAATGTAAGGATCATTTTCTTCACTGAGCTCTCATCTAGTGGTTCCTCCTGGTATAAAGGAAACAAACAGCAACAATTTCAGTCCAAAGGGATTTCTCATTCACTAATCACTACTTCTTTTCTATGGCTCTTTCATGCCATTCTGCCACTCACCTTCCTGGGTTAAATATACAGTATATACTTTATCTCCCCCGCTGGAAAGAAGGTTAAGGGTCTAGATCACATGCTATGTTGTATCACTCTGTCCCACAACTAGCTCAGGAAGCTCAGTTTAAGGTTTTAAAGACTAGCTCATTCAACAAATATTTCTTGAGCATACTGTATGGCATGGAATAAGCAACAGTATTAGATAGTTTAATTTAATATTTACCCATCCTTCTCCTTGTTGTACAGGTAAGATAACACTCAGGTTTAAAAGAACTCGTTCAAGGTCAAACCCTGAGTCAATGACAGTGGACCTCAATCTTTGGGAATCCCCACGCCAGGGGTCGACAAACTTCAGTCCACAGGCCAAATCCAACTCACAGCCTATTTTTGTACAGCGAATACCATAAGAATGCTTGTTAATTAGCAACAGTCACTGCTTTGCATTTCTTATACATTACTGTTTCAGGTCCTTACTAGCTACTGGGAAGGAAATCAGAGAGGCCCGATATAGCATCAAGAATTTAGTAACCTCACTCAGGGGAGACATAAAAAACTAATAGACCATACAGTTTTCTTATTTCAAACACTGGAATAATAACTACAAAGGTAAATAAAATGAATTTTTGTAAACGGAATCATTTTCCCCAAAAAAATCAACAATAAAATTTCAAGAATGTTTTCTCCTCAGTTTCTTTTCAAGGTTAGAGTCACGTGCTACAGTGCACTCTGCCTCTCTGACACCCAACTCCTGGCTTCACAGCTTTTGTGGCCACTGACCACAACTCACACCTAAAAGCAATACAAAGACTGCTATTAAGAGAACCAGAAACTGATCCTTCTGGAAAGCACTGAATCATCTCATAATTGTATAAGTACTCAAAAGTGTTAGCTATTATTTTATTAAATTTCAATGTTCATATGTTGGGTTTTTTTGTTTTGTTTTGTTTTTGTATATTCAGTTAGCCAACATAGGAGTTATCTATAAATTCGTTTTGGGCATGACAGATTTCTTAGATTCTATCAATGACTCCTGGCCCCTGAGGACCTCTGTTGGACTCCCACCCCATGCCCAGTATCTGTAGCTTAAAGAGAAACTTCACAAACTGAACTCAGTGCCCCGGCTCAGTCAAGACTCAGAGTCAAGCTTCACTACTTACTAGGCACGTGGTGATGTTACTTTGCTGAATATAATCCTCAAACCCTCATCAAGTCCAACAGACTACCTCACAAGTCTTTCTTGAATTCATCCACTTGGCATTCAGAATAAAATTCTAAATCCTTCACATGACCCATATAAAGAAGGTATGGCAGGATCTAGCCCAGACAATCTCTCCAACCCCAAACCAGAGTAAACATCCCTTTCGGTGGCCCATGTCTACTTGTTCACTGCTGACTCTCCAGTGCCCATCACAGTGCCCGACACACAGCAAGCACCCAGGGAAGATGTGTTGAAGGAAGGCAGGCAGGCAGGCAGGGAGAGAGGGAGGGCGAAAATATTACCTGTCTCTTTCAAGGTCATGGAGATGACCTAAAGAGATGAGGTGCATAGAACTGTTTTGCAAACTACAGGACACTACATTAACATAAACGCTTATTGTTACTACTAGCAACAGGCACGATGCACCCAATGCATCACGAGGATTTCACTAAGTAATCTAAATTTTTAGGAAGGGTTAAATCACTTTCAAGCAACCTCAATCTCCACTTCTTTTCTTTCCCTTAGCTAACATCTTGCCCACCCTGCAGGAAAAAAAATGTAATAGTGTTAATACAGCTCTCATAGGATCCCCCAAATCCTAGCCTCTCCAGGGTTTGGCCTTCCCTCTTTTAATTTCCCTCCAATGCTGGGGGAAAACTGAATTATCAGTCTTAGTCATCGACTAAGACTCCAATAGCTCAACGTCAGAAACCAGAGGGAGATTTCAGAAAGATGAATGCTGGTGATATAGCACAAAAAGGACAATAATATTTTACAAGTCCACATGACTTTACAGGGGCAAACATCACTTGTTTTTCATCAAATGGGACTTTGGTGGCAGCGAGAAAATAACTCCTGGACTTGTAGTCTTCCATGTGTCATTTTTACAAAGCGATCTCTTTTTCCCTTGTCCCTTAACAGAAGACCTGGTCCCACACTACATTTCTGTCTCCCAGGCTAGAAACCACTTACCCATGACAGCTACTATCCTAATCCTCCAGTACCAGCCTTGCCCTACATGGGAATTATACCTGCCAATTAACTGCTGCTGCAGGGCTAACAGACTGAGCCGAAGCTAGTGAGCAGGGAGGGAGGGAGGGAGAGCCGAGAGGGAAGGAAGGAGAGAGGATGTGCTACACACACGGTTTGTCTAAGCCTAGCAGGGCTGCTGCCCTCAGAGAGGAAATTCAGGACCCTCTCCCACCACAGATTTGCAAAGTGTCACCATCTTTTGGGGGCAGATCCCCAAATTAGCACTGGTACAAATCCTAATGAGAGAGTTACTGTCACAACACAGTAAAGACCTTTTTGGAATATGAATCCATTTTTTTTTCCTTCTCAGATTCACACTCCAGCTTCATTTTTTAAATCCAAACTTAGCATCATGTCTTTCAGGGAACCAAAAAACAGCTGGCTCTTAAGAATCCATTTCCATAATTCATTTTTAACAAAATGCCAGGGTGAAATAACATGCAAGTTAACACTTATGGATATAAAAAGACACTTAGGTAAGGTCATTTTATTTTTAATCACTGGTATTTTACCTCTACTCTTTTTAGCTTCATTTATTCATTCAATAAATATTTATCAAGGGCCTACCAAGAGCTAGGCACTGCACTGAGTGCTAGAGATACAGCTGTGAACAAAACAGAGCCAGTCCGTGTTTTCATAAGAGGTGGGGGAGAGGATAGCAAATGAGTAAAATAAACAAACCAGGATTTCAGATCACGGTAAATGCTATGAAGACAATATACTGACCAAAGTGATAAGAGAATAACTTACAGGGCTACCCCAGAGATAGGAAAGGCTTCTCTGAGGAGGAAACATCTGAACTGAGACCCAAATGAGAAGAAAGAAACCCGCCATGCAAAGCCTTACGGGAAGAGCATTCCACAAAGGGAATAGAAGTCAAAAGGTCCAGAGGTAGGAATGAGTATGCCTTAAGGCATCTTGAGGAACAGCAAATAGCACCTCTTTTCCTAAACTGTATTTTCTCAGTTACACCTAAATACCTAATCTCTTAGCTCCACCTTGAACTTCTCCACCTTTGCTGCTTTGCTAACGCCATCTCAACTGAAAAGCCTCCTTCCACTAGTGTGATAAAATGCCACTCCTCTTTCAAAGACTACCGACTACATTAACAAATGGAAGTGCCTTCAGTGTGCCCGGCCTAGGAAGCCTCCCTGACCCTCCTCAGTCAACAGCGACAGCCCCACAGTCCAGTGCTCGGGCCTCGATGAGGACACATAATCCAGAAGAATTTAAAAACTCTATCTATAATGATCTTTACACTTTGAAAATGCTTCCCAACTCCATCAGCGCACTTCACCTTCCCGTCAATACTGTGCAGTAAGTATTCCTCGCCCTGTTTAACAGATGAAGCTGAAAAGCTCAGAGGAATGAAATATTTGACCTAAAATGACACTCTACAGACACTGCGTGTCAGGGCCAGCCTCGCCTGCCACCTTACCTCTTCCTCTTCCTCCTCGCCCTCTCTGTCAATAATCTGCAGCAGTCTCTTTTTGTCATCGTCTGTTTCTTCTACCACCACCATCTCCTCTTCCCGATAGCGGCCACGGTCTCGGGGACCAGCCTGCCTCCGACGCATTTTCAGCTCTTCCTCTTCATCATCCCGGGGACGTTTTGTGCCCCTGTTGGGCTGAGAACGAAAAAAAAGAAACACAGGATTCCAGAGCTGGAAAAGACCTAGAAGGGCACACGTAGCAGACATTATAAAAGCTTTCAAGGATTCACTGATGAAAAGCTCCATACAATACGATTTCTCCCACAAAATGAAGTAAAGCTCCAAGTGGTCATTTTTTCAGACCCATAGTGATTCTATAAATACATGACTAAAGTCACCTACAAGGTAGTTGGCTTTTTCTTTTTACAGAACTTTTTTAATATGCGAAGTTTTAGCACTTCACAAAAGTTGCTGTGTATATAGAAATCACAGGGAACACAGCCACGTTGAGATGGGTTAGGCTCAATTTACTAGTTACAATACAATTTCCGACACCAATCCCTTCACATGGTTTTAATTCATGTCTATGAAAGACTACAGTCACTCACAAGTAGTTCAAGCAGAGAAGATTACCTATGTAACACCCAAGGGTCTACTGGACTCCGAAGTCCTACTTTATGGAAGAATAGGGTAGAGTAAGGCCCAGAGGGAGTATTACCCAGAGTCCCAAAGCCAGCAGCTGCACTGAAAACACAATCGGCACTTCCTGGTCCAGGGCTCTGGCTGCCACACTGTTAGGTCCTCGTTTTGCCTTTGACGCTGCAGTCCACGGAGGAGTTCTTAACAGCGGCCTTCCATTAAATTGGAATAAAATGAAGCACTACTGAAATGGGCTTCAGAGCTGAGGAGAAACAGCACTGCACCAGGAATCAAACAGCCCAACGTCTCCAAGCAGCTCAGGTTACTACTGGTGCAGCTCTGGGCATGTCATTAACCTCTCTAAACCTTCGTTTCTTCATCTACAAACGGCAAACGGAAATTATAACCCTTTTCCCTGTGAACTTCAAAGGGTGCTTGTGTGTGTGTATATGTTTACCATTTTTCTCCAGCTTCACTAAGATATAATTGACATATAACATTGTGTACAATGTGATTAGTTGATTCATATATATATATTGCAAAATGATTACCACATTAAGTTAGTTAACACCTCCATCACCTCGCAAAATTACCTTTTTTTTTGGTGGTGAGAACATTTAAGATCTACTCTCTTAGCAACTTTCAAGTATACAATACAGTATTGCTAACTAAAGTCACTCTGCTATACATTGGATTCCTAGAACTTATTCATAACTGGAAGCTTGTACCAAAAGGTTGCAAACTTTAGTGAAAGAATGCTAAATGAAGGGCGCCTGAGTGGCTCCATCCGTCAAGCCTCTGCCTTCAGCTCAGGTCATGATCCCAGAGTCCTGGGATCGAGTCCCGTATCAGGTTCCCTGCTCAGCA